ATGTGGGACACATCGACATAGAACCTTTATCAGGAGGAGGCGTGTGGTGCAGTGGACTAGTGTGTTAGTGTTCGGATCAGGAGAGCACAGGTTCAAACCCCACTGCAGTCAGCATGTCGTTGTGTCCCTGGGCAAGACACTTCACCCCAAATTGCTCCTGTGGGGATTGGCCACAGTATTGAGTATGTAAGTCGCTTTGGATAAAAGCGTCTAACAAGTAACATGTCATGTAATATCATCAGCAGATTCACTTGAACTTTCTAAATAGGACTTACCTAACCAAGGAAAGGCCATATGATGAGATTACTCTCTCCTTAGAATGTGACTTCTGCCCTGAGGGGCCCCAGGGCGGATGTTTCTTCTCATTTCTTCTGCTCCTCCCGAACCACAGAACACACAATACAATGGCTTCATACTGTAAGATGAGCAGCTCTACCTTAGAGTAGAACATTGACTTGATTCTTGTTTCGCCCACTCCCCTTGCACAATCTGTCTTTGTCTTCCTGCCCCTCTTGATCTTTTCCAAAGTGTTGGGAAGTCAGGTTCAAAGTCGATAATTGGAAACTGTGTGAACCATCCTGCTTGGAAATAACTTTCACTATAACGTTTTGCCCTTTACTGCTATTCATAGAAAATAATAGTGCATTTCTACACAGAAATTCAGCTTTTTGTCTGGAATTGTAACAGTTACCATTTGTGACTCCAAGGTAACTTTCTCTCTACAATTAAGGAAACCAATACCCTAAATTCCCCATAAAAATAAACAAAGATAACCTTGTCGTGTCCATTATCTATTATCTCAAATCCTTTGAACAACATTCCTATGATTACCTAATTCAGTGGAAATCACAGAGGACTGCTTTTTGAAGTTATCTTGTTCCACAGAGTGCAGGAGTGGCTGCATATTGATGCTTGTTCCAGTCCTGCTTCATGTTTGGAGCATGTCCATGGCGAACTCGAACTTTTTAGTCCTGTGCACAGCTCACTGCATACACCGGCCTTTGAGGTGCTGCCACTCGTCTCTGCATTCCCCCTCTCTTTGTGCTCCGTCCAACAAAAGTAATGATGTCTTTGCAAACAGCCTCCATTCCTGCCTCTCTAAGAGAGCTGTAGCCCAGCCGATGGCTTGCATTAATACAAGGCTTTTATTATATACAGTATTAACTGTTTACAATAAAAGCCAGCTGATAAGGAAGCATTTGAATTTAAATTGTATGCCTGCTGGTCATTATTACTGTCTGCGTATATTCAAGTTGTAAATTCATGAAATGTGAGCTGCCACTGTATGAGCTTCACTGCTCTTTATTTGGGTTCATTGCATCTATAAGGAAACCCAAACACGTTAGCATGGGTTTCCCAAACACAGTGAAGAAAAAGCATTTCCACCAATACATTGTAAGTCATTATATCTATAGCTATTACCATCGTTGAATGGTTTTAGTGTTCCATGGAACTGCCATCTGTCTCTTTTCTGCAAGCTTGCCAATCCCATTTCTGTGCAAAAATTGAAGTGAATTGGCCTTGAAGCTGGTTGTTCACTATGACCAACTTATAAAACACAAAAAACATGAAATCAATTGGGTAAAAAAAAAAAGAGCCAACATGTTGTAGTAGATTATTTGTGTCCCTACTCGCTCCTCTGTGGATTACCCAGAGGCCATCTGTGTTCCTCACAGTGTTTGGTACCTGGGGGGCTTGTTGGAAACCAGGCCAACCCACATTTGTGTGCACCGACTCTCTGCGGCACCGGTATTTCAAAGCTGTATCTCTCTCTCTTTCTCTCTCTCCCTCTCTCATGGCTGTGTCCCCTCTGGTATATGGACAGCACATCAATGGGAACATTAAAGGTTACAAGCCTCAACAAAACGACACATTCACAACTCCAACCTGACACTTTACTGAATACCCTTTGATCTGCACACACACACACACACACACACACACACACACACACACACACACACATACACGCACGCACGCACACACACAAGCCGTCCATCCTACACACTGAACACTGTTTTGACAGGAAATGGGAATTTACTCAGATTTATATTTGCGAAGAGGTTTTCTGTCATATATTTTGATGTTTCTTGAGGATTTGGTAAATGTTATAATTACAGTAAATATAACAGACACATGAAATATATCAGCAGCCTTTTATGGCCAATGGCAAAACAAATTCCATCCCGCAATCTTGTGAACCTTAGTACTGAGTGAGTTGCCTAAGTTATCATGTACATTTTAGAAAATATTCCTTTAGTAATTTACTTTACAGTGGTTAGGAGATGAGAGCTGTACAGAAATAATGACAACAAAATCAATTGTCAATATCAGTTAAAAAAAAAAAAATTTTCAATGTCTGTGTATTAAGCAAACTGCCACGGCTGACAAACTCTGTGATGTACTTCACCTCAGCTCAGTGCCAGCAGTGAGGTTGAAGTGTGAGGCACTGCTGGCTCTGGCCACTCACACTTCAGCTTGATCTGTCAGCAGTGAACATTTAGCAAAAGGTCACAGGACTGTTTCCAGAGAAGAATGAACACATGCAACCGGATTGCATAGCAGGATTGCTTAATGCTCTGCCATTGTGTTTGATATCTAATCAAAATACATTATGTTAGATGTGATTATGTTGTTTAGTTGGAGGACGGTCATATGTGCTGTAGTTCTTTGCTTTCGTGTCAAGGCCACGGTTCGTCTATGTGCTTCCTTCTATCAATTATTTTTCTCATCGTTTAATTATCCGGCGTCAGTACTACCACTCGGTTAATCAGACGTGCTAACAGGTGCATGGAGCAAGTGCCCCTGTGGGTGAGTAATCATGTGTTCTTGTTGTTGGCTATGTATCCTGTTGTGTACTGTGCTGGTTCTATAAATGAAACTAATGTAAGCAGATATGATCATTTGAGGACAAATAACATTGTAACCCTATAACCACATAGAGAGGAAGCAGCACCAACACATTTATACATTAGATGACCATGGCGTTTTGACCAATTAGCCGCTTCCCTCTACTATCCCATAGTTTCCCTCACAGCTACCCTCTGCCGAATCAAATAAGCCTTTTTGCACAAATGAGCCGACCAGCTGAACCCATCCAGCCTGTGCCGCTGCATTCTTCTCTTTCTCCCTCCACATCAAGCAATCTGTTTCAAGGTTTTCCCATTTTTTTGTATTTATTCATTCAAAAATAGATGTCTCACTCTGGGACTTCTTTTGGAAATAGGGGGGAAAGAGGTGGTACTACTTTTGTGTTTCCCTCCTTTTTATGAATGTTATTTATTGAGCTCTTTATTTGGACAATTGAAAATGCAGAGACAATTATTTCAGTTGGTTGTAGTATACACACTTGTGTAAGTTTGTAGAGGATTAGGAGAAGAGCCAGGATGTGCCTTCAGCCATCATTTTGCATTGTGTGCTGGTCAGTGTGCTGTATAACACGGCAGGCTAAAACAAATCCAAAAGTTCTCAAGTAAAAGCTACATTAACTAATCCAACTACTAACTTTGTACATTTAAATAATATTTAATTCCCAAAGTCATCCTTTATTCACCTTAAACTTGGCTTTTTTATGATGACAGTGCAGAGGTGAATTCAAGAAATGACTTCCACATGCACACAGTCGTGCTGCTGCTTGTCTATGGTGATGAGTCGGTTTTTGGTATCTGCCCCATGAATTTCAGTTTGATACTTCAAACTGACATCCCTGTTTTGCACTAACAGCAACACTTGCAGAATAAAAAACAGGTAATGAAACGCCCCAGCAGTGCAATATGTTTACTGTGATGTGCGCTCCGCCACTCTCCAGCTTTCATTTTCTCACTTACTAACATAATAGTGATTGGGTCAGGCTTTTTTCCTTTGCATGTATATGAACTGGGTTGACTGAAACCACCATATATAATGTAGCTTGATATATTTACACATACATTGATGGCAAGTCTCTTCTGCTTGTTTACTGGGTTAAATACTCTGTTGATACTGTAGCTCAGCACATTGAGGTTAACAGATGGAGGTCTTAAAGTGCAGCCAGTCATGCACATTTGGCACCCCTCCATGCATGCACCTGCTTGCAATCTTCTTATGTATGTATTCAGGTATATACAGTATTTCCCATCACATTTATTAAAACGGTCATATACACCTGCTCCAGTATGCCTGGAATAACTTGAGGGTTAAGTGCCTTGCTCAGGGGCTAGTTGGTAGAGGTAATGGAGAAAATGGCCATATGTGCAAGCCCACGCACCAATATTTGTGCATGGAGCGCATTTCCGTAGAAACCACTTAACAGATCAAATGAGCCATTATAAATGTAAGATTGAATATCCCTCGGAAATTATAACACAGCAAGCGCTTTGGCTATCATATTTCAAATTAAACATTACAAAACACCACGGTCTGTTTAGAAAAGCCAATAAAAGATGCAGTCCTGAGAGTTGCTTTTGTTGTTATTTTGAGCAACAAAGTTTTCTTGTTTTTTCTCTTTCCTTCCTCATATTCCACACAGAATACGCTCTCTCTTTGATTAGCTGGGTGCCTTGGTACACTACAGTAATTAGGCTGTCAGTCAATGCCAGATGGCTGGTGGTTATAAGATGTGAAAGTCGCCTGGAAAGTTTCCAGATGAATCTTCTGTATAGTTTTGTTGTTAAAGGGCCACAAATGAGTATGGTTTAAGAATGCAACTTCTAAATACTTAAAACTGAAGATTATAACAGCACACACCTGACTACCTGCATCTGTGCTGTTCATGTATTTAATATTTCAGCATAATGGTAGAATAAAAGGTTTAATTATTTATTTGACCAGTCTGAGCTCCTATGTGTTAAATCTGAACACATTAATCACATTGATATGTATTAAGATGTACATTCTTCATCCCCTTCTGTAGTAACTTTGTTCAGTTCTAATCAGTTATTTGTTTAAGTTAACCTTTTTCTAGCATTGCACCGGTTTTGTTTTCAACTAAGCAGATGTCTTTTTATCTTTTTCTAAAATAGATTGTGTTCGAGGGAATTCGAGGCCCGAGTTTCGAGGGGGATATTGCCATTGACGACGTGTCTATCACCGTCGGGAAGTGCAAGCAGGACACTGTATCCAGCGCAGGTAAGACAGGTAAGATAGAAATAAACACCCAGAGAAACAAAGAGAAGCATCTCTGATAACTGCCCCCAATACAATTTATTTAAAAAAAGTCAGCAAACTTAGCTAAAAAGGTGAAAAATAGCTCAATTAAACTGATTGGAACATAATTGATTTGAATGAAAATAAATAAATCTAAGGGCAGTATAGAAGGTAATTGGGTACCACTTTACAATAAGACTACCCTTTTAATGGATTCATAAAGGGTTTATAATTAGGTTATGAATTAGGTTGTAAACACTTTATTAATCATTAAGAACCATTTATAAACCAGTTCTAACATAGTTTTCATACATCAACACAGGCTCACTATTTGGCAAGATGACTAAGCCTTTGGCTACTTAGCGAGAATCAAGCTAGGTAGCCAATATAAGGCTTAGCAGTACAGATACATGTGGGCTCACTATTTGGCAAGCAACCGGTCACAGTTGCCCTGTTTATCTCATGTCTTATAAAAGCTTATTAATGATTTATAAAGTGTTCACAACCTAATTAATAAATGAATTACAAACTATTCGTAAACCCTTTATAAGGGTAGTCTTATTGTAAAGTGGTACCGGTAAGGGTTATAAAAATATAATTTTCAAGGACCATGGGACACTAAACCTCTTCTTATGTGGTTAAGAGGTGTGGGAATATGGTGCAGAGAGAAAATGTTGTCAGTGTGGGTGCTGTGTGATGACAAGTGGACACCAGCATGGAGGCGATTTGAAAGCCTCGTCATCAAATGCGGTCCATCCATTTATTTACTTTGAATCCCCCTCTATCCTAGTTTCACACAACACTAACCTGCTACCTCGTCCACACGCACTTTTAATATATCCCGTTACTTTCCCTCTTCCATTTTACTAGCCATCTACCCTTTTATTACCCATGCAATTTTCCGTTTAGAGATAAAGTGTGTAGTGGTATGGATTTAGAGGAAAAGAGCATGAGTGGAGAATGAGTGACACAGGAAGGAAAGAGTGACACCCCTGGATCATATAATGGCTAGACATCGTTCCACCAAGAGTATTTTTCTCTGTAAACTGACCACAATTTGCCCGACGTGCCTCCAGCTGACATGCTTGACAAGCCAAACCGAGCTGTCTGCCCATAAATAAAATACCAGAATACTATTTTGCTACTTATAAATACTGTTTGTGACTGTCGACTCTGCCTGTAGGGTGAAGCAGAGAGAAAAACAAGTGAGTTACAGGGAATCAGTGCATGTCTATGCAATCGAGTTCAAGGCATACGTAAATAGCCTTAAGGATAGGGGTGTAGAGAGGAGATGGAAATGGTGAAAAGGTCAAAGATGAAGAATGACCAAAACTCTGTGTACGTGTGAGTGCATGTGTGTCTACATGTGTTGTGTTGTGTGTGAGAGAGAGAGAGGTTTGAGAACTAAAAGACGAAAGAGAATAGTAAACTAAAACCTGCCAGCAGTTTAGCTACAGTAAGAGCTGCCCTCTGCCAGGAAAGACTTGCATACAAAAACACAGGCACGTATGCACACTCACACAGACACACACAGGCGCATAAACATCATTAAATACTCATAATAGCCTTCATTGCATTCTTTACAGACAAGCACAACAACAGCTTGTTGGCACCGTTCTCTTATCGCACACTGCAATTGTTGTTAGGTGAAATGGGGACGCGTAGAAACTGTGAAACTGAGTAATAATCAAGTATGTATTGTACACAACTTATATTTTAACCATCGTTTAGCCAATTAATTTCTCATCTTGGAATTAGTCACTGTGTACAGAACTCACAGTAACAGTAAAACATGTTTCATTTGTAACTAAATGTACTACTTTTAATTCAATCATGGCAATTGTATTCATGTAGCCCTACATGACATATCACACAAGTAGCTTCACTTTAGGGAGTCCACTGACACCCTCAATAAGGATAAGAAAAAACTCCCAAAATATCTTGAAATGTGGGAAAAAGGGAAAAGCATCAGGTAGAGCAAAAGAGGGGGGACCAACTTCCAGGAAGGAGAGGCATGCAATATGTCATATATGTATGTCTTAAGCGAGAATGTATGCATGCAACCTAAGGTGAGAATCCACATGGTTTTGTTAATTTTCTTATTTTTAGGACCTATTACAAAGAAAACATTAGAGCCAAGGAAAAAACCTTACTTATTTTAAGTAAATTATTAAAATCCTGCTTCGCTAACCCCCAGTTGTGAGATGTCTATGATGTCTGCATCTGTGTGTGATCTTGCTGTTAAGACACTGGCGGATGAAGTGAATAATGGATGAAGGTGTAAACAGGAAGTGGAAAGCTCTTGAGCTCTCCAAGTGTGCGCCTGTGTCCTGCAGGTTTTGTTCAGGCACAGACACACAGTGCAGACAGATGGGTAATTATCAGGCAGGCGATTGGAGTAACACAAATGCATCTGTCTTGAGCCCACCATGGAAGTTGTGCGGTACACTGAGGATTAGAGAACGGATTAAACTCAGCTCATGTTATGCACGATGAAATCATAGGAATATGACTTGGAAGAAAATGCAAACTCACTCTTTACTTGCTTTAATTACGCACAATATGAAATATCAAACATTATAGGAAATGTCATTTTAACATGGACAATGTGAGTATGAACCAGGCTGTCATCAGAGGCTGCCTTCATAGGATTCACAGGTGTTTGTATAGAAGTATAGATAAATGTATGTAGTAGATAGACAGACAGACAGACAGATGGAAAGTGGCTGATTTAATGACAAATAGCTTAAATCACGACTGCACGGTGAGGCAGAGCTTTTTACAACGCAGCGCATAACATCAATAAAAGCTTTGATCAGCAATCTGTCATATGGATAGGTGTGTGTTTGTGTGTGTGTGTGTGAATGTATGGCATCAAACTATGACACTTTTCTGCTGCTCCCTGCATCTCACAGGATGTGGAGGGAGAGTAGGTGAGCCTGGTAGCATCACCCAGCTCATACATCACATAGTGTCACACAGATACTCCCACACACTGCATACACACTCAATATACCATACGTTCATCCACCCGCAAGTGCTTTTTTAGTAATATAATCTCACATCGCATGGACACACTTACAGTAAGCTGCAGGTTAACTATATGTATGCATAGGGGAATGTTATCGTACTATCCTCCTCAAATAAAGGATGATTGCCTCTGACATGTTTGGTGCTACTCGGCCTGTATAAATCACATGGCTCAGTTGTGTGTTCAGAGTGTATGAGGTGGAAGGTGAGCACATGTTAATGTATGTTATGTACATGTGATCAGCTACATTTGTTATTAGGAAGTAGCTCAGCATGACGGACAGACATTGACCAGTTTTGGTAGACATTTAAGTTGTTTTTCTACCTGTGATTGTTTGGATATTTCAAGCTCAACAGCAACAAGATGCAGGTTTAGAGGCTAAGATTAGTGTGAGTGGATACAATGCCTATTCACTGTCTGTACTATATGGCCACAACATACACACATGGCAATATCATATTCAATATAAAGGCCCAGAGTAATCCATTTTCTTTTAAAACCCATTTCCATGACAGAACAAAATATGTATTATCTGTAGCGCTTTCATACAATGAGTGAAATAAAATGTCCTGCTTCTTCTTGTGTAGAGAGACGAGAGAGATAATGGAGGAAGGGCTGAGTAAGGAAAGAAAAACAGAAAGACAGGGAGATGTAAAACATCATGTTCAACTTCGATCTGTTGCCCGTAAACTATACCATGTCAATGTGTATGTATGTTTGTGGTTGTGTGGTTGTGTGGGTGTGTTGCACGTGTGTTGCATACGGATCAAAGCTTTATTATAAATATCGATTTTCTGCCTGGAGGACGGACCCTTGATATGAAATCACATTGATCTTTTTAATTCAATGCCTACTTTATATTTATGAAACTCTGTCTTTGAGCAGCATGCTTGTGTAATTTGTTGCTGCATTTTTATAATGCCGTGCAAACAAGGGAGAGGACATAGTGTGTAGTAAAAGACCAGAAGAAGTGTGTTCTTCTGGTCTTTTCTGTGTGGAACAGTAAGATTTTAACCAAGTAAAATACATAAGAAATCTTGGATGAATAATATTTGCAACTTGCAGTTATTCTTGTCAGTTAAAAGCTTCTGCCAATAAAAGCACACCTCATTAAAGATGAGTGTACTGCATCTTCTACGGGGCATAAACAAAAAAAAACGGCAGAAAAACAATCACAAAGAAAACATCCATCACATATTGGTGATGATGACATCAATTGTAACTTATTTTTCTCTTTATAATCTCAAAGTTTAAACTCAATGGTGCTTCTCTCTGTTTCTCTGACTTGTTTACTTGCCCCTGCCCCCCCTTTCTTGGTTCTTGGTCTGTCCCTTTTTTTGGTTCATAACAAAGATCCATTTTTCTACAACCCTGCTTTCCACATTGGTAACAGGGTTTGGTAATGTTCAAACGATGCTTCTTGTTACAAAGCTGTAAACTCTCTGCCTCACCAGGGCCTTTTCTTGCCTCAGCAGTGAGCCAGACAGGCTTAAAGACTGCCTCAGGCTAAAGCAATACATACATTAACGTATACTTATCTACTTAGCAGGTGGTTCATCTAATGTCAAGGTTAGCCTGTTATTTATAAAATGCAGTTTACAAGGCATGTAACAGTTGACCCTTCTATCCGATTCGTGCTGTATATATTGCATTACTTATACAACTATTTGTTTTTACTGTGAGGCTATAAGTAAAGACTAAAACTAAATTGATTTTTTATACTTAAAGGTGGGGTAGGTAATTTTGGAGAAACCAGCTCCAGTGCGCTAAAATTTGAAAATACACAGCCGGAAATAATCTGCCACTTCCTTACAGAGCCCCTCCTCCAACACACACGAACGCGCACATGACCAATGAGGGCACGAGATAAGTTTTTGCACAGATGGAAGGCTGACAGGCAGGTAGGCCATCCAGTTGTTTTAGCCGGGCCGGCTAAAATTATTGGTCGTACTTTTTACAGTACTACGGCTTCCACAGATGACATTTTTTAATGGATTTTTTGTCAAAGCACTTAAGATATTCATTGCTATCGGGATGTTAAGAGCATTCCATGGAATATAACAAAAAGTGTATCTCGAGCCGGTTTCTCAAACTTACCTACCCCACCTTTAATGTCCTCATATTCAATTTAATGTGATTGCATTCAAATTCATCATTTGAATACATGTTTTCTATCTGTCATAAAGAAATTACTATAAGCAAGAGAGTGAAAAGCACTTATGATTGGTGGCGTGTAATTATTATTACAGCACTGGTGGAGAATGTGTAATCTGTACCTGTCTATGAACTTTGCTATACAACCTTTTAAAGTCATGAACAGACAGCAGAACCTGGAAACAAGGGGCCTGTAAGTATTTTATTTATGATAACTGTTCTGTTCTTTTTTGCCATAGTTCTGATTGGTGGATCACGCTCACTCCCATTGGCCAGGTGGCTGACCTTCGGCCTCTCCTGCTTCCTGTTGCTACTCTACAGATGATGATCACTTCCTGCGACACCCCCTGTCTGTAGTGACAGACACTGTCCTGACTCACGCTCTTATACTTCTCTCTCTACCCTTCTCCCTGTCCTTTCCTCCACATACCATTCTCCTTAACTCTCCTTTTCCACTCTATGTAGTTCTATCCTTTGTGCATCCATGTCAGCCTTCTTGCATAGATAAATAGTATCACAGAGTCTTTGTCTAGTTTCTCCTCCTCTGCTTTCTTTGAACCTTTCCCCCCAGACACTCAGTATAACCAACTGTTGTGCATACTGTATTTAAGGTGAACATACTTACTGATATTTGACGGTTACAATTCACCTTCTCTCCTTTGTCTCTCTATTAATCTGATTAGAATCACTTTATCCATGTCAGCGTGTCACTTTGTCACCTTTACCTCTCCTTCATCAACCCTTTTATCATCCATACATGTTCCCTTTCATGTATCCTCAACGGCCCCTCCACCCTATTCCCCAGACACACCAAAGTGTCGGACACTCTACCAAAGATGACAAAGGACCTGAGGGAATAAAACGAAGGAACAGGATTCCAGGAAGAAAGTGTAAGAGAGAGAGAAAAAGAGGGTAAAATCCTTCTTCTTCACAAGACTGTCTCCCATCGGTCCCAAACTCTGGGACATTGGGAGCTAACGACTGATAAAGGGACGGACTAAGAGAAAGAAACTGATGATTGAATGAATACATAAATGAATGCTGAGAAAAGGACCAGCCAGAAACAGAGGAAATAGAAGTGTGCTCCTGGTAGCCTCTCTGCTTGCCCTCTGCTTGCCACAAGAGACGAACCTCAGCGCGGATTATACGTGTACATTTATCTCTATATATATATTAAATATAACAAAGTTTAAACTTAAACACAACTAGGACAGTGGAGGACTTTACAAAGTGAAATTAAAGAAGCACAATGTTTATACAACCTCTGCTGTACCTTTGGGTTTTATTCTACTTATTATGTGATGTTGCAATTTGTCAGACCTATTCAATGTTTTTGATATTTTGCTTTTTTGTTTTCTTTGGTTCATGGCGTAACGAAGGGTCAAAGAGAATGGGTAATAAAGTATTATATTAATATTTATGAGAAGAAGAGAAGATGATTCGTGATCGAGGACCAGAATTGAGCACGAGGAGGGAAAAGCAAGGATGACCCAAGCCAACTGGATTGGAAACCTCAACTTGTATTGGCACGTACTGAACACACACACAGACACACACAGACACTTTTTCCTTGCTGACATCACAGCCAGGCCCTCAGCTCACCCTCTGCCTCAAAACATGTCTCCTCTATGGATGAAACAAAAAGAAAACCACAGTTGATAGATACAACCTTCACGTTTCTGCGCCCTAACCATGAACTTAACGCATCGCTGGACATCATTACTGGTCATGTCCGGATTGATGAGCCACAACTGAAAAGCTGGACATGTTATTTCTCATGAAATGGAAAACAAGGTGTCGTAGAAGAGGGCCACAAAGAGCTTGGAGTGAGTTCAGTTGAATATTTCTTTCTCTAATTGAATGTTATGTATGAATTTCCCATGCAGTGAAAAAAACTGTCAGATTGTTAGCAGCAAGGATTGCATATCAGATTTTCTGTTTTGTTTAATTAATGTCTGTAGTTTAAACTGTTTTTCATAATAACATAGATATGATGGTTAAAGTTAAGCAATAATCATATCTATAGATCTGTATACAAACCTTTATGAGTGCATTTGAGATGGCAGTTCAGAAGGGAAGGGATTTCTTTCTAAATACAATTGTAGTCATCATTCATAAAGTTCAATAAAGAAGCTGTAGCTATTGTAATCATATCGATAGTATTTTTTCGATGTTCTCCATTAGGCTTTAACCTATCTCAAGAAAGCTCCAAATTCACATGTTACGCTTTTGCAGTAAGTGATCTACTTTTTATGCTGATCTTCTTCATTACCATGTACATCACATGTGATTCAATCATGAACACCATATGTACTTTAGTCTGTGTTATTTCAAATTGATTTGATCACTTTTTTGGTTGCTTTTTCTTAATTGTGGTTGTTACAAATTGTATTGTTGGCTTTACAATCATAAGTAGTGCAGAACATACATAAATGACGTGCCTAATAGATTGTTCCACTTTGGTGTGAGTAGCAATTTCTTTGTTAAGCTGGCACTGCTGGCTACTGTACAGTATGAGTATAACATCATACTGTATCAATGACAACTCAGTCATTCAATGCTGCGTAAGGCATGTTGGATTAACCTGTGAAGCTCTCTGTCAGTGGTGTATTATATGAACTTGGGAGCCCTCTGAAACCTGCAGACTCTCAATAATCCTGTACATTAGCTCCATCTCCATTTATTTTAAATCTCATGGCAGGTTGCAACTGAATGTTACAACCACTTAAGAAGTGAATTTGAGTGACATGCTTTCCTGTCAATGTAGCTTTGTCATGCTGCAATTGTATACTGTAAAAGTTATGCTGAAAATATTTTAAACCTTTTAAAATATTTCCCACACACATCAAGACAAAACAGGTGTATATTTGTAGGTATTTATTGCAACAACTCAATGTTCACCTTCCTAAATGGCTAAGGGATAAGGATGTTGTATTTAAATGAGCTTAAGTTTAACTTTTAGACATTTCATGAAGCATTAATGTGCATGGCATTTTCATTGTGCTTACTGTCAAAGTGTTCTTCATATTTCCTCATATTTCAATGGCAGTGGTAACAGAGACTGATTACTTCTGTCATTTTTGCATTTGGACATGCGACAGCTGCAAATTAACTGACAGAATACTGTGGAAACCTCAGATGTATTGTCTGAAACATTGTTATATTTTCAAAATTATTGGGACAACTTTAAGCTCAAGTTCAAAGTGAAAGAAGACATTGATTTATTTCACCTACCTGAGATCACAATATCAAGGCATGACATACAGATGTGCAGATAATCTGACCAATATGTTATTCTCATTATGTTGCCTGGTGAAGCAACACATTGTCACTTTACCAATGGTTTATGTCAAGTTGGGAAACTAACTGTTACTGTATTCATCTACTCCGATATAATGTTTTTTTTTTGCACAAATGAATCATCAAAATGCTTCTATACTGGCACACTACAGTCCACTCTGAGGCATCATAAGCACTGCGTATTTCCCAGGTGATGACTGCCCAAAGGGAAGTTTAAAGAGAATCAAGCAATCATCCTTTTTTGGGTTTTGATATCAAGCATTTAAATGCTTTAGAAATTGCCATTACATAATATTTAGAGTGTAAGCACACCTGTAGCAACACTAACATTTGCCCATATGGTATCTAGGATACATACAACGTGAGGTTTTCATATATCATATATCTAAAATCATCGCATATAGTTCAATTGACATTATTATTTCAGTACAAAATAATCATGTGCTTCATTTGTTTCAAAAAAACATCCGTCAATAAAATAAAAATGAACAGCAATGAAAAGCTTCTGTCAATAATAACATTATCTGTCCGGGGGTAAAATGCTTTGGTAGCAAACAAACATCTGCTGATCGTCATACAGTGCTGAAACTAAGAGCAATGAGATGTGTAGCACAGCTGTTAGTTAGCATACAACAGACATGTAATACATCTGGATTGGAGAAGAGGTTCAAGGTAAATCAAAACATATCTGTGAATACCATATTGAATCCAAGTCAACTTCACAAAAATAATTTCCTGTGGCTTTTAACCAGCATACACAGTGTGAGGGAACAACACTTACTGTATGCTGGTTAGGTTGAAAGCACCTACAGATGGAACATGATTTTACATCTAGTTTTTAATTGTTTTATAAAGTCAGACCAAAGACAAGACAACTAGCTAAAAGTGTACCACATGAATTAGTGCTGGAAATTAACAGATTCATTTTCTCTTTTCTGGTAGATAACACAATGCATCTACTTAAAATCTCAAGAGAAGTATTTTCCAAAATGTAACATCTAAAGGGTATTTATATTCCTTATTTTCTTATAAGGAATACACTTGTTTGAGTCCTTTACATTAGAGCAACTTGTCCACTTCCTGTACGTGCTCATCATCTGTTTACTGAGCCCCAGTAGAGTTACACTTGTATGACAAACTGACTGTTAATGATCCACTTACTGTTTACCATCTGTACTATCTTGAACTGATTGGAGTTGACGTCCAAGAGACTGTACGGACCTACTCAGCCTCTATTCCCTCCTTGACTGCAAAAGCTGCCAAAACAGAGAGGAACAGTTTGGCAATAGAACCACGTTTCCTTCTGGCTACACAAATAAATAAAGGTATATGTTCAATAGTGATTTTTCTGGTTTGTGGGAAATAAGATGATGTGAAACAATCAGTGTCTGAGTGCCGGCAACAGTCCTGGCTTCCCTGTTATGTTACGTAATCTCATGAGTGTTTTGCGACCCTGTTTTACAGACTGCAATGACCTTTTTCACAAAACGCTGTGACCCTTGCCCTGTCTTCCCAAAAACAGGTGAAAAGCAAAACATTTCAAAATATTTGTTGGATTGAAATTGTTTTGTAAACTTCTCCTTCTGATCAAAGTCTGGGACAAAAAAAGTAACTGACTTCTAGTGGACTTTTTTGACACATGACAGTGTGGTATTTCAACAAGCAGCTTCAAAATGATAAGCCTTAATACCTTATACAGTATATGACTTTTTTAGGCCTCACCTGACTATTGTAATTCACTGTGACAAGCATTGTCTTCGCATTAAGTACGTTTTGGGAATCAGTGCATGAGTCACAGTAGTTGTCCACATGCTGAGTGTCAGGTCGACAGCATAGCCTTCATCGGTCTGTGTTTCAATCCATTTTTGGAACAGAAGATTTGAAATGCACCTTTAATGTGTAAAAAAGGGAGAGGGGTATCAAACAGTGCTGGGTGTTGTATATTGCTGTCATGTACTAAAGTATTTTAGAGGAAAATATATTTGAAATATGATTCTGAAAGGTATAAATAAACATCAATGAAACACAAAAGGTTAAGGTATTATTGTTTGTTGCTGCAATTGCTCTTGTGTGAAAAGGGAATGATATGTTTGGGTATTACCCAAGTTCCTTCTCTGGCTAGATAAATGAAATGATCAATAACACTCTTATGTCTACAATAAATAAAAAGCAACAGCCGTACGCCAGCTAGTTTAAATTAGCTGTAATCAACACTTGAAACAAATGAAACAGCTAGTTAGACTCTGTCCTTATCATAATCTGCCAAACAGCACATCTAAACCCTAGTAGTAAACACATTATTATTCAATTCAAAAACTGGGGAATAGATATTAAAAGTTACTGTTTTACGAAGGTTATGCTATTTCTTGCTTAATTGCTGTATCTTCCTGTATAGTTTTGTTGCCAGAAATTGCCATGCAACGGTTGTCCCAAGTAATGAATAATCTGGCATATTAACTTCTTAAAACTGAGGTGAAAGTTGTTTTGGTTTATTAGTTAAGTCTATTGGAACTTCAGGAAGTCCGGTTAAATCAGGCACATTTTGTATTTTCCAACCAAACATCCATTGGCTGTGCAATTTGAATGCCTTCATGGCATCAATTAGATTAAGCACTACAATATAATTACATATTAAATGTATTTCCATATATGCCTTTATTGTACCCCTCACTTTTTTACGTTTATTTTTAACCTAATTACGTTTTATTATGTGTTAATATTTGAACCAAACATTTTGTGATTAATAAACCAACATGTTTTGGACTTCTTAACAAAATATGCATTAGTAGTGCACACTGAGAACATAACATGAAACTTCACTGGTGTATAACAGTACTTAATAATACAACATCATTTGGATAAAGCATTTCTCAAATGTTTTAATGTTCATGTATTTTTACTTGAAATGACCCTTGTGCTCTTCGTTGAGAGTAGACGTGATTGATTGCACTTGTCGTTGATGCAACAAACAATTGATGAGAATCCTCAGGAATTAATTAATTGCTAAACAAATGTCAGAACTTGCTAGCTAATGACTTTACTGCCAAGGCTGCCAGCTCATGCATGCCTAATTTGTGAGATGTGTGTAAATGATCTCACAAGAATGTTTTCTCACATCTTTCAGCACCTCAGCGTAGGATGTCACTGCAAAGTCATAACATAACAAAAAATACAGTAATCGGAACTAATTTGCACTCCAAGGGCGTGTGATAATCGCATGCCTTGCTTTGACATTATCACCGTCTCTAATTGTGTTTTGCAATTGCTTTCAGTTGTTTCCCCTTTTGGATTTGGCTTGTGCCCTCAGCCTTTTGTCTTTTTTCTCCTGTCACTCTCCCCTACATTCCCATTTCTGAATGCAATGAGAATAACGAAAAATTGTTTCAGGCCAAAACTAGAGGCCATCTTGCAATTGGATCACACCAATTGTGTATAGGTGAGAAAGGGGCAATTACCACACCCACTGTTTAGCTCGACCTTCAAATTTTGATCAGGGGTGTCAAACTCAAGGCCCGGGGGCCAAATCCGTTTTCTGTGGCCCCACAAGACCTTGCAAAGAATATTATATGTTTATTATACGGTTACATGATGATTTACAGAAGCACGTTGCCCATAAACTACATGTCCCACAATGCATCTCAAATTAGACTTTTTTTCTCAGAATTTGACATTTTTTCTTCTAAATATGCCTTTTTTCTCAGAATTATATTTTTTTCTCAGAATTTGACTTTTTTTCTTCTAAATATGCCTTTTTTCTCGGAATTTGACTTTTTTTCTTCTAAATATGTCTTTTTTCTTAGAATGTGCCCTTTTCTCAGAATTTGACATTTTTCTTTAAATGTTACTTTTTTTCAAAATGTCACTTCTTTTTTTTGATTTAGACTTTTTTTCCAGAATTTGGCTTTTCTTTTTAAATCATTTTGTGACATTCTCTCTGAAGAGACTTGCAATTATTTGCGCCAGACTTCTGCTTTCAGACGTAGTTAATTATGAAGTTATTACCCTATCTGATAATAATTCAATGCAGAGGCAATAATGTAATACAATACATTATTTTATATATATATTTATATATGTATTTTTATATAGTCTTAAAGTTACAACCGGCCCTTTGAGTGCAGCCCTAATGCTGATGTGGCCCGCGATTGAATTGAGTTTGACACCCCTGATTTTGATCCTAACTATATATCTGTAAAGTTTCATGACTGCATTTTGCACGGTTGTGTAACATTATCCCTCCCACAGAAATCTGTCCACAGGGAACACACAAACACAAACATACTCACAAGGTGAAAGCAATGCCAGCGTCTCTGTCCCGGCTGGTAAACATACAGCAAGTGTAAATTATTATTATTAATTATTATTAACAAGGCTGTAACTGTTTACTTTCTTACTTCAGTCTGGAGCGCAGGGAAATGTGAAATATTTCAAAGATATCAATTACATCTCTCTTTCTCTTTTTAACACACACACACACACACACACAAACACACACACACACGCACGCACGCACGCACGCACGCACACACACACACACACACACACACACACACACACACACACACACACACACACATAAATAACTGGTGTCGGCTCACTTGCACAGTATCAGACTTGAGAGACATTCGCTTATTCACAGCTCTTTTTTCTTTTTCACCATTCTCATATCTTCTCTTTTCTCTCCCTCCTCTCTCAATTGAGCGAAGCAGAGATGTACAGATAGAAGTCTAATTAATGTGTGCTTTTTTCTCTGAGCCGCCTCTTAGTGGAGCGCAGGGTGGAGGCGTTAGGGCTGAATGGTTCAGCGCTTTGCTGTTCTCCTTCATTTGTTGTCTTTGATACTTGGGAGATGGGATTCTCACTGAACCTAGTTGTTTGCAGAGAAGGACCTTGCTGCTGCGGCTGTTAATTCAAAGATTACTAGGGGTTCATTACTGACAGGTCCAAGCTTTGCTTCTGAGAAATCCTTATTATTTTCAGATGCTTGCTCTATATATATATATATATATACATATATATATATATATAAATATATAATGTATCTATATATATATTAATACATCCTTGTGCACAGAGCAACTTGGCAGCTATCACTACCCCAGTTAGTTTGGTGCTGGCTAGAGTTGTAACAAACCTAATTATATATAAATATATATATATATATATATATATATATATATATATATATATATATATATATATATATATATAGAGAGAGAGACTGTCTCCCAAGAAGAATACTAAAATATAGTTATTCAGTTATATTCAACAATTGATGGTTTTCTTAGACAACAGAACTTTGGTTGAGAGCAGAGAAATATGTGTCATATGATACAGGATCTCCCACTTTACCTGACTGTGAAATAGTTATGTTAAACCTCTAAAAGTCAGAATTTCACATTATATTTAATGTATTTTTTGCTGGAAATTCTCTTCTTGCTCTTATGTTGTTATTATTATAAATAAATAAAAATACTTTATTTTAGATTTTTTGAATGGAAATATCTAGATGTATTGTTCACCATCTTCCACCTCACCACATATCCACTCCAACATTTAGACATATTCAGTATTGTCGAACTATGGGTTACTTTTAACTCAACTAAATGCACAGCATTTTAGGTCTTTACTTTCTTCCTCCCTCACTTCCTTACCTCCATCCTTTCTTTCCTCCAGAGAAAGAGAAGGCGACTCATGGATGAGAGCGTTGTGTTAAACACACACCTTACATGTGCATGCTCTCAAAGGAGTGACAAACTTACTGGGAAAATATCTGTTCAGCTTGAAGAGTGAATTCCATTTGTTTGATATTGAGCCTTTTGAGAACTTGTGCTTTAGACACTCTGAGTATAAAGGGATATAACTATTATATGACAGTCCTCTGTACATTATTTATCACCCACTTCTCTTCTGTGGTTTCCTTTAAATGCTTATTCAGTGCCAGAAATGTGGAGGTAAAATGTTAAGATTTGTCTCAGAAGAGGTCTGACTAGAATTTACTTTTAACTCCTGTGAGTGGTCTGCATTTTTAACAAAGGTCGGCTCTTCCACTTCTACAAGGTGAGCCAGGAAATAACTCTCCACCAATCTTGTAAATGAAGGACAATGTGATGTACCTCCTGAGCCATAGCTGTCTCTGCAAACCAGCAGTTGTGTGTAGTATTTCCTGATTCTTATTCCAAATCAAATCTATGTATCGATGTATTCTCGTTATGCATTTGTACCTGTATGTACACTTGAGCTAGATTTAGATTTGAAAGAGATGGATTACTTTTTGAAGTGTAGTACCTTCTACAGAGATTGTGATTACAACAAGTCAAACTGAGGGTATGTTATTCAGTGTTATGGGATTATGAAGTACTACTTGAAAAGCATCTTCAGTTTGAGGACAAGAAGTGCCTGTGCTTTTCTAACTTCTCTAAGAAGTTCATTCATGAGTGAGTCTGCCTGTGAACACATCGTTTAATCACAGGATTGATACTGATTTTGAATCAAATACAAGACATAATCTTGGGTATACAACTTGTATTAGATTGTCAGGTGTCTTTTTAATATGTTGTGCTCCTACTTGGACATGTTTACATGCTATGATGAACGGGCTTTATCTTTCTCATATTGCCTGTGCTGCAGCACCTATTTCCGCCCTCTGTCTGAAAGCCCAATCTGCTCTGATTGGGCGGGACATCTCTCCACTTAGATATCTCCCGCCCCTTAGCCTATCACGTACAATGTAAACACACCAGATGACCCAAAGAGTGGGAATCTTGATAATGATGACTTCTGCGATCCCCTGACCTTTTATATTGCCTCCATCAGGTCTCAACATATGCTATTGGGATAACTTTTTTTCAGACATTTATGGCAGACAATTCATCTTAATGAGTTTCGTAATGTTCTGACTTTTTTTAAACGCCACACAGAGGTTGAATTGTATTGGTCTCAACTATTGGGTGGATTTCTTGATCGCTTACATTGCTTAACATTTGGTACAGACATGTACTGTATGCCTCAATCA